GCCTGTCACGCCGCGTCGCGTCGCGCCGCGCCGAGCGCATCATCATCGTCGGCGGCATCGGGGGCATCCCCGGTCTGATCTTGGCGAACCGGGATCACTCGCGGGAGCGAGGATGCTGCGTGCGGTCTACACCGTTCTGCTGCCACGGCTCGTACTGTCATCGCTGCTGCTGATTCATTCAGGTATGCGATCAATCGGATAAAGCGCAAGAAACACAAAATTCCCTTTCTCTCTTTCGCGCAAAGTGTACTTTAGCACGTACTTCGCCCGGATAAGAATATAAGTTGTACGATCGGGCAAAGCGGTGTATTGTTAATGTCGGAGTGGATTCTCAACATCGGATTCCGTGGAAAAGTTTGAGCAACTGAAAGGAAAAAATGCGGCCGATCGCACGGCGATGATAAATAAGCGACAAGAGATCTATCGCACTTGAGACAGATCACGTGCACTAAAAGATTCTCATCGAAGCGATTGGAGAGAGTCGTGAAAGTATATATAAAATAGAGTGATTTGAAAAAAGAAGCTATAATAAAAGAAACTATACACATTTATGAGATATTATAAATGTAAAATATATTTTCTAGTGCTGTGTAAGCAGGCGTGGTTGCGGAGTTGGTATGACAAACTCAACCGAATGAAGCTTTTATAAGGGATATCAAAATCCGTTTTTCGGCATGCGTGCGCGTTCGACGTGCCGGGCATATTTCGACTGCTCCGCCCGAGTTCAATAAAAGTGCATGAATCGCCGCTGATTTGCGAGTTAAACCACCGTGCGAAAAATGTAATCGCGCTGTTTCATCGGGCGGACTCGGCGGTTCATTCATTATATGATAAGCGAATTAGTAAATTAACGAAACCACTAATACGCTGGCACAAATTTCGCAATTATCTTGAAATCGGCCGATTAAATCGTCGACAAAGAGGAGGAAGGGGAGGAAGGGACGACGAACTCGCGGATGTACACGGTATATCGACAAATGCATACTCTTGTGCACGGCTCGTCTAGCTCACACGAGCGCGCGCGGCAAAATGCAACGTGACATGGAGGAATAAAAAGCAGAAGAATAAAAGCTAGACGAATAAAAGCTAGTACACAAAGCGCCATGCATTTATGTATATCCATGCAAAGCACCGGGAATAACAATATCTAGTCGCGTATACGAAAATACCGGAAATCTTCGATCACGATAAACAAAAATTCTCGAGATATAATTCAATCTGACGCCGGAGTCAATTGGCCGGCGGGGAGAATCTCGCGGAATCAAGCGAAATTTAATTGAACGCGTTTCAGTTTACGTAACGACGGGTTTCGCAAATTGTCTTCGCTCTTGCACGAATAAATTAGAATAACAGTCAGAAAAATCAGCCGAATCTCTTCGCCGACCGCCCTTCTGCCCAACTTTTTGCTCGCATTATATCGTCCGATCGAAGCCGCGGTGTTTCGCTTCGAAATTAGTTCGCTGATTTAACTCCCCCGTCTGGTATCGAGCGCATTTTTAGTATCCACGACGAAACTTTGTTTTAAGTTCGTACTTAATTAAAACATTCGCCGCGCGATCGCCGGGCCGCCGCGTCTTTACCTATGAAACAGCAAGCGAGTTTGCGGCGGGTATAACTACTGTTTGCGAATCGGTCGAGATAATGGAACGGTCGGCGGCGACGGCGGGCGAGCAAACCATTGTCGTTCGGAAATTGCTCCTTCACTGTGCTACGTGGTACACATCAATCGCCATAAACAAAATTTCAAGATCGTCGCTGAACAAATCGCGAAAATCCCCTCGGCCATTTTTTCTGCTCGCAATTCTCGTCAACTTTTCGTTAAAATTAGTTGGCCGCTTTAACCCCGTTTTCGTCCGTCGGACGGGTGTATCTTTAGCCGCGGGCAAAATTCGACTTCGATCTCATAATTAATTAAAACACTCGACGCAATCAGCGAGGCGCAAATCGGCGTCTTTGCCATTACGCGGCACTGAATTCGCACGCGTTAACTAACTGTTCGTAAATCGACGAAGGGCGGAGGGTAATGGGACGATCGGCGGCTTCAAACAACGATTATCGTTCGGAAATTATCCCCCTTTGTAACTATACATCGCCGGGGTCGAAATGAACCCACGCGATTAGCGCGTCTTACCAACTGGTTGGTCGGTCGGTCGGTCGGTCGGCCGGCCGCTAAATGCGCATTGTCACGTCACGTTCATATAAAGGTAATTAAGATTTCTAAGAACGTCACCTCGTCTACCAGCGAGTTATTTATAACCGGCCTATTACTGTACCATACCTTATTTGTCTTGCCGCGATATGCAGCGCACGCCGAGCAAGTTTTACCATTTTTTCAGTACAGCGACTTGCATATTCTGCCCGCGCGTTTGCAGATTATTATTATTATCGCGTGTATGTGCTCGCGAGAATTAACAAATCGCGGCCACGCGCACTCTCGATGATACGCGCGGCCGGTTATCGAACGACCGGGATAATTACAAATGTTTTCGCACCATTATATATTCCGAAATTTCCATATCGGTCGTTTCCGTGGAGAAAGATTTACTTATCTCTCGACGTCGGCTTGTGTGCAAGAAAACGAGTCTAATTTAACGGAAGACTGACAAAATTTGATTCTATAAAATGTACAAATATAGCATATATACAGACACACGGATCATAATATAATTATAATTAATTATTCAATGCGGAAGAACGGGATATCAATCCGGATTCATTACAACTAATATCAAAATTCTTAATTTCGGACGCTGTCGAGGGGCGAAAACGGCAAATTGAATATTTATAGATTAAACCTCATTTAATCATTTTACCTCACCGCGTGCCCGCATTCGACCGTTCGCGAAATATGCCGAAAAATCCGCGTAACGGCCAGCCTAAAATAACGGAGACAACCGAAAAAATAACGCGCATTTGCATCCTGGCCAACAAGCGTCACGAATTATTCAAAGTATTTCATACTAGGGCGAATCGCGGAAATTTCATTCACGCGTCGCCGGACAGAGAAAAAAAAGCGACATACAGACGCAACACCCGCGTTTAACTACCGCGCGCGTGTGCGGCCTCGTTAAATGCATAAAATCGCCCGTCGCGCATTAGCGCGCGCGCGACGTCGCGTAAAGAAAAGAAACGTCCGGGGCGGGGGTGGGGTGGGGAGGGGGTCGCGAGATATCGGCGGCAATTAGAGTGCTTAAATTCTCGGAGCACTCGGAAGCGTTCGCGGCGGCGCTCAGCCGTTGACCGGTCAACGCGGGCGTACCCGATTTCAAAGTTAAATCGAGTTTGAACTTTGAACCGCGATCGCGGCACCGGAACACCAGACACACGACGGCAAAGTGCGAGAGAGTTAACGTTTCACTATCGCGGCTCGCCGATTCGAAGCCGAAAGAACACGACTTCTCGCTTATCGTCGTCGTCGTCCCGCGCGGTCGGCGGTTTCCTTCCCCTTCGAACACGGGCGACGACGAAGAGTGTCCCTTCGAGGACGTTTTCCAATCAGGGCCGACGACGACGGCGCATCTGTGTAAAGCAATCTGCGCGACGACAACGACGACATCTCGTACGGGGATCTCGTTCGACGGATCGGTAGCTATCGCTTGCGAAACTGTATTACGATGGATCGTTAACTCAGGCACTATAATTGGCTCAATTTCCAATAAAGCTCGACGCGTTCTCTCTCGCTGCACGACCCCGTTTAAATAAAACAATACCACGCACACCGACACTTTGCTCTCCTCCTCACCCCTCCTCCCCCCTTACTCATTCTCTCGCTCTGTCAACTCGCCCCCTTCTCATCCCGCTGTTTTCGTTTCCCGCCTGTGTGCCCCGTTCGTCGAATTTCTATGCAAAATAGTAATCAAAGATACTACATTTTTTATCGCGTGCACCGCGCGCAACGTCGCGCATAATTTAATATATAAAGCGCCCGGGCTAAACTAATTACGCTCGGACAAGATTTATTAGCTTGAAACGCGCGCACAAAAGAGAGAAAGAAAGAGAGAGAGAGAGAGCTGTCATTCCTCGCGTAGAATCAGACGTTTTGCAGATGAGAAACTTCGAATGCATACGAAGATGTAAGAAAAGTGGCGCATTGAAAATTGCACAGATTTGATAATTTTATCTCAAAGCCGACGCGATTCATGTGAAACTTCATTTTCAACATTTCAAACTTAACAATTGGTCGATAAATTTGTTTAACTATTAATTTTATTCGTTACCCGCTACGAGTGAGAATCTGTTTTCATACAAAACTCAATGAGATAAAATTTTATACCTTTCTTAAAAATCTTTCAGCTTTGATAGTCTATTTTTCCTTAACGCTGAATGAAATTTTTCGTTTCCATTCTTCTCATATGCTCACTTTGTCCAAAGACGATAGTCGCATAAATCAATAACGGGTGTCGTGGACAAGAAAAAGAACGAGGATAAAAGTGAGGAGGGGAAGAGAGATTTTGTTTAATAATTGTCTCGTAGTCTCGAATCTCTGCGGTACGTGATCACGCACGTCGTCGCTCTCATCATTGTCGGAAGATAACAAAGCGTGAACGCGTATATTTTTTATTCGCAGCGTATGTATATCGCACGCGCATCGTTTCGCATGCGACGCATTCTCGACAGAGAGAGAGACAAGCCTCCCGCGTAGTTAAAATAAACAGAATCACTTGTCGGGGTAATTCTGCTTATCACTCTCTCCGCATGCGCCGCGCAGATTTACGATACGAGCGCAAATAAATAGAAAAAAAAGCGAGAGGGAGAGAGAAATGTGCGACGCACACATCGGGCATCGATGCGTGCCCGTTTTTCCGGTTCGATTCGTCGTCGGCAATCCAGCGTGATACGCGCTTAACACTCGGCGCGACGCGACTGCATTTTTCGCGCACACGACGCGTATTTTTCCACTTTCGGACTTATTTTACGACCGGAGCAATTTGCCTCCAGAAGGCAGTAAATTCTTTTATCTGCCCGGTGTGCGCCACCTTTCCTCCCCTCCTCTTTGCTCCTTGCTACCTCTAATTTCATATTATTTGAGTGCGGAAAAACGCGAAAAAATATTGTGATGCCCCGGATAAGGAGTGCATGTACCGTTTAACACGCCCATTTGCCCGAATGATTAACACTCTTGCGTCCGCGTGTCCCCACTCGTCAGCGTACTTTTTCCCCTTTTTCTGATATGCAAACATATAATTTTCGAGCACCGCTGCTGCTCCAGCTCACATACCCATATACTGAACTTCATTGATATTCTGATTTAAATTATTTAACGCCAGCAACGCCGCAAAAAAATAAGAACTGTATGCGGTGGAAAAATATTGGCTAATAAAAACACTTGCGAAAATTTTGAAGCAATAACCTGGTCGCTAAACAGCGCTACCAGGATTATCGAAGAATTGTAAAAAAAACGACAGCGCGAGTTGGTTCATAAATCACGCGTCGGAAATAGTTTTCTGAGCATCGGCCAATGTTTCTGCCTTGGCCAGAATTAATAAACTCAAATTAATACATTTAATTATTCGAATTTAATCGTCAAATACTTTGATCTTGTTGTGCGGAGTTTACAGAATGGAAAAATAATTCCCGATCACAAAGTGAAATGGAGAAGCGCCGAAAGAAATTAAATTTAATTTAATTTAATTAAATTTTCAAAGTGTTTATAATCGTACAAAAACGCTTCATGAACAATCCAAGTTTTTCCTTAGCGAATAAACAATACGGGTAAAACGATTTGTGTACGCGGCATCGACTACAATCATCGCGCGAATGTTTTGCTTGTCTAACTCGAGAGGGGGGATTCGTTTGCCGACAGGCGATGAAACGCGCCGCGCAACACCGACGCAAACTCGTTTTCCTTTTCGCGGGCCATTAATTACACACGCGAAGCAAATCTATCGGAAAGCATTATCATCGCGGCACGTCAAAATTATGTACTTACCCGGCCGGCCCCGCACTGTTCACGGCGCTGCACCATGATTAATTACGGCAACTCGATCGTTTTATCACTTTTTCCCGCTCGTCGGGAAGCATTATACCGTGTAACGTTATACGAAGCGTCCGGATTCGACCAAGCCGCCGATGAAACGCGTAATTACGATTTTCTTTTCACTCCTGCTGCTGTTACTCGAATAACCGATTTATCTTTTATCTCTTTACTCTACTTTTAAATCGCATCGTTTGTTGCGACTTTGTGCGACTTACGCCGCTTTCGTGTTATCGTATTATATTCGTCCGTAACGAGTATTCATTCGTACACGGCTGGCTGACTTTAGCGGATTCTTTTCCTTTCCAGCGAGCTCTTATTACACGGGAAGCTCCAATATTTGTGTGCTTGAGCAGGAAAAACAGCGCGCGCGATCGCGGGGGAGAGGGCCGCGTGCTATCGTAGCGAGCAGATAAAATAATAAGCCGGCAGCAACGCGATCGCGACTCCCGTCTCCCCTTCTCTCTCTCCTCCACCCCCCTTCCCGTATGAGAGATCCGACTGATACATTGGATTTTCTCCCAGCCCCTATATTGCGAGATTGCGACGAATTTAATTTGTAAATAGCCACACAAGCGGATAGTCGCGCGTACACGCGCGCCCGGATATTAAAATAATCATGCGCTCCAATAGACTAATAACACATAATATGTGTAATAATGGAACTAATGCGGCATATGCATTTCAATTACAAATACAGCCACAGTTGAACGTCAGAATGACCCGACCGACCCAAATAGACAGCGTTCGAGCGAGTTTAAAAAATCTCCGCAAATCGGCAATCACACTTAAACAATTTCCGCTCGCATGACCCACTTTTTTCGCGAGACAACTGCACATCCCTCCGAAATTTGATCGATTCGGAATGACTATTTGATAAGCGAGATCGATTAGAAAAGCGGATTGGCGCTACACCGGCGCTGTACCTAAAATTCAGTTAAATAAACACATAAATCTAACTCTCGTCTCGCCGTCTCATTCCGCGGATCACGCAACAGCGGGATTTCCGAAAATCTGGAAGTCTCCGGAGGTGTAGTTGCGGATTAACGCCCCGCTCCCGGCTCCGCGCGCGCGAACAAATTTATAATCTCGCGCCGACGATACGTTCAGCAGCGGCGGGATTAATCCGCGCATTACGGCCTGATTTACAGCGCTAAATCAACGCGCTCGCAAGAGCGCTCCACGGTTTTTGGATTCATTTGGATGGATCAACGCGCGTTGAGATGTGGATAAATAAATATCTTCACTCACCGGTGCTGCTGCTGTTGCTGCTGCTGCTGCCGCCGCTGCTGTCGTCGTCGCCGGCGGCGATGTCGTTGTCTGCATCATCGTCCTCGCCATCGTCGTTTCTCTGTCGTCATCCTTCTCGTCTCCCTCTGCGCCTCCCCAATTGCGTTTAATTAAATCGACCGTGTCCGCGTCCGTCAGGAGCACGCACCAGCAAACGCGCCGCGTCACCGTGTCGTCGGTCGCTCGATGGGCTAAAAAGATACAAGCCAGTAATGGTAAATGTTTCATTAGCGCGCGAGAGAGCGGCGCAAATTTGCAGAATACAAAATAATAATATCGCGGGACGGGGATCGCGATAATGCGCACACATATATGTACCCCGCCGTCGTCGTCGGGACGGCGAAGCCGCGACAATCGTCGTCCGCTTTTATCCAATTTATTTCCCGCGCGTGCACGGGCGGCTTAACGCCGTAACGCGGCTTGGCATTTACATGCGGCAGGAAGCTCCGGAGATTTGTTTGCGTCTTAGGACGGGCGTCCGACCTTCTTCCTTCGTCCTTGCGCGACACGTATCTTACGCATATGAGACGGTTAAATAAAATCGCGGTGCTGTTCCCCACTCTTATATATCAGGCTGATGGGGGGAAGAAAAGGGGGATGGGAAACGACGCGTTTTCCCCCTAGCGTTGCCTGCCGAACGACAACTGGAATTCTGTTTATCTCGACGCCTTGTAGGCCCTTGGAATTTCTTTCTCTCACTTACTCCGTTTTATTCGCCCTCTTACCGCTTATGATTCTTAGAGTTATATATCAAAGGAGGTTTCCTATTACAAAGCTGAATAAACTGTGTGTTTTCCACTTTTCAGCGTAATTTTTCGTTCCTAATTTTTTACATTTGTTACATTTGCAATTTTTGTAGACGTTCTTTCTTTCTCGTTATCTTAGGGCTAAATAAAATCTCTTTCAAGTAGTAGATGACTAAATATGAAGCGCTTCGCACGATATCAGCGAAGGGAAGATTCAGAGCCGCGTCTCGTGCTCCGCATTAATATCAAAATTTTGCTCGATGAGCAGGTTAACGTCTATATAAAACAGGTCTCTCGCCGCGTCTCAAAGAGGTTCGTTAGTTCTCGATTCAATAGCGGCGAAAAATAAACGAGCCACCGGGTGCTTAAGGTCCACGGGTAGACGGAAATCGATTTTGGAACTCCGAGAGATTAACAATTCAATCGACTTCGCGATTGCTACCGGCTCGCAATCGTTTCCCTCCGAACGAACAGGGTAATTTCAGAAATTGTTTACCCTTTCGGTTTGCGCGGGGAATTAGATATCCAACGGCTGTAAGTAATCTAAACTCCAGTTAGATCGTAACGCGAAATGGAAAAGTAGAATTACGCGTGTGCGTTACACGACGGGCAATAAATGTCCATTTCTCTTGATGGGAAAAAAAAATATATATATATATATGAAAAACCACATGTGAACCGCGCAAAGACTCATACCGCGCAGCGAGTCAACAAGTTGACGTAAACAATCAGCTATTTGTAACAGAAAAGATGAACAACCATTCATTCGCTTTATTTGTATACCATTTTACCTTCTAGCAGCTACGCTGCTCCGCATTTTATTCTGACGGATCTATTTTTCTACATGCATTTAATCACTCAGTTAGCAATCAACAACATGACGCAACGGGGAATTAAATAAAAGCTATTGATAGCGCATCGACAATAGTGTATGATTAACTATATCATTCACTGAAGGGAGAAAAATTTTCAAGCGGCACGGACAGAACATCTGGAAAAATCACACGGCGCGTATCAAGCGCGCGCGCGTGACATTATTTTGACGGGACAATATTTCCCACAGCTGCAATAATTAGCATAGCGTCACGTACACGTCCGTCCGTTACGCGAAAATGTTTCCGCGTCATCACGCGATAACGCACTCGCCGCGGGTTTTTTTGTTTCCCCGCTCTATCATTTCGCGTGTCGAGCGTGGGATTTAAATTCAGGGGCGCAAATATTAACCGGTTAAAATCGAAGACCGTGGCCGACGCGCATATTTCACCCCCTCCACCGCTATTGACTCGTGGTGCTTTAGGAAAATAACAAGGCAACATACGGCGAGGATCAATTATCGGGTTCAAGGAGCAGCAGCAGCATCGGGAATACTACCGCGGAGCCGCCGGTATTGAATTTATCGCAGCAGCTTATTTCCGCCGGCTGAAAGGAATATTTATACGGGCGCGAGCTAATTTATCTCGCAAGGCGTTTTATCGGCTATGCTCGATCGGACATTCGTGAGCGGGTTTTTATTTCCCTCTAACCGACCACCGTTCCTCTCCTTCACCCCCGGCACACGCGCGCGCGAACGATACCAACAAAGTGACTCTCAAATACGCCTGAACATGATCTCGACAAGATCTCGCGCATACGGGAAAGTGAAACACGATCGGACACGAAACGATCGCACACGCGACGACGACATGATCAGATACTCGGCCTGTTTATATACTTAATAAGAGAAGCCAGCGTGAGGTGTGTCAAAAGACCCGAAAAGAGAAGATTAAAGAGCAAATTAAATTTCAGACACGCATAAACATAATTTTACATATTGATTAATTTCATGTTTTAATATTACAAGTAATATCACAAGTACTGAAAAGCTATTCAAGTGGTTTTAATTTTGTTTTTTATTTTATATACAAATCGCGCGTTATCAATTTCAGGAGTTATATAATTTTATAATTTTTAATATATCGAGTTTTAGCCTTTTCGTCTATTTCCTCCAATTTTTTTCCAGAAAAGTACCCAAAGGCTCATTTGAGGCTTGTACTCTTTTCATCCCGCTAATGTTAACAGAATTTTAATTGGAAGCTTAATCCTCGTGCGGGCAAGCTACTTTGTATCGCAACCGGGAAAGCTGTGTCCACTGAATACCGTGTTACATTTGAGATACTTTTGAAAGTAGTAATAATACTGATGTTTTCAATGGTGAAAAAATGTAGATAAAAAGTAAAAAAAAGGAATAAACCACGCGCACACATCTAAAATATTGATAAAATGCAGATATGCCCAACGAACACGCTTCGCCTCGATACGAGTTAATAACGGGATCACTAATTTATGAGAAATGGCGGTGTGCGAGGGAATCCTCGAAATCTAATGGCGAGTACATGAAAAATCTACTGCAATCTTGGTCCTTATTATGAAATAGGGACTGGTAAGTTCTCGCGGTGCACGAAGTTCGCCGCGATATTTCTTCCCACCCACTCTCGCGGATACGTCGGTGCTTTAACTTGAGCCATTTCTCGAGGAGGTAACGCTCCGTCGAGCGACGTCTTTTTTTCGTCCCTTTCTTTTCACGCTCCGGCGAAAAATACACGACCGGATGGCCGATCCGATAAATCTTTCCTCGCTGACAGTCCCTTCGTACTCTTTTAACTTATCCGCGGCTCGCATCCGTATCAATTTGCGAACGACACGACGATTTTCCGGTAGCTACTCAGAGACCTGTGAGTAAAAAAAAAGAAAAAGTACACCCCGGTCATTGGTTTGCGCGAGCCGTAACTGTACTTTTCAACTGAACTGCTTAAAAAATCGCAGCCGGGTTCTTCGGGCGGCGCTTAGTCCCGCCGTCGGATCGACCGTCGTCATGAATTTCACACAGAAGAGTAATGAAGAACAATGTCAGCCACGTACGCGCGCGCGAGCCATAAATATTCAGCTCGTCGTGCTGTACGCGCGCGCGAACATTTTAACCCTCTACCGATTGGGCGTGCCGCGATGTGTGTTATATTTTGACATGCGGGATTATACAGTGAGCTGCATCGAGCACAACCGGTCACCGAAGGCTCGATTAAATATTCATACGCCTGGTAATTGCTCGATCTGCGATTCGAAATTGTCTCCGCGGCTGGTGGAGAAAGAGAGAGAGACAGAGGGAGGAAAATATAAATTCCACGCGCGTTCGATCCTTGCAATTCTCGATCAGGGGATCATTATCGTTAAAAAGTGGTCGCTTAATGAACGAATTACGTTATGATAATGCTGTTTTTTCAAACATTTTCCATTATATCGTATTATTTCAAAAACAGCCCGCTACTGCGCAGAACTAGATTGTTTTCGCAAACAACTTTGCCAACAACATACGGAGTACGTAAATATTGACAAACGGATATACTTTTGCTTGGGACAATTTCAAATAATGACGTGGAGCGACATACGATACTTCACTATTGTGCTTCAAATCTTTAATATTTTATAACAGTTACGACAGTTGAAGAGTGTAATTATATGATACAATTTGTTACTTATTTTCAATTTTTTCTTTTTTAAGTAAACCATTATTCAAATAATCGAAGAGCCCGAAATAACATACTAATAGCGTCAATTTTTGAAATTTTTTCAAATCAAATTGAATTAAATAGAATACTAAATAAAATATATATTCGTATATAATCAAATTAACTTGGATTCGAAAAAAGTTCTTGTCTGAATATTCTGTACGTTTTAATATGCATATAATTCAAGATTTATAAAAGTGAATTCATTATTTCTAATTTTCTCCTTTAAGTAGAGCGCTTTTTAAATAATCAAGAGAATACGAATTTCTGTAATTGTAATTTAAATTTAATTAGTAAAAAAATGTGCTGAATGAAATACATTGTTCAATCAAATGAATTCGTATTCCCAAAAGTTTTTATATTAATATGTGATGCAAGATTTATGAAGAAAATTTAGGTTAATTTGCAGTTAAAATTAAACGTTCTTTATATATTTGTTAAAATTTAATATCTAATACCTTCTAAACATTCCAAAGACCCATGACGCTAAAGTTTGTTCACGGACTATAATACGGTCGCATTCTATTCCGCCACCTAACACCATCATCTTGCTAGCGATATAAACGAAACGGCGGGAAATAAAACGCCTTTTCAGATCCCTTTATCTCGTTAATCTTGTCGCGCTTTACGCGTTCGGGATACAAAGCATAACAAGAGAAGAAGGAGAAAGAAAAGGTAAGGGGGGGAAAAGCGACAGAGAGAGAAAGAGAGAGAAAGGGAACAGGTGCTTATTGCACGTTGAACCTTGCTGAGCTGCGCGAACGTACCTACCGTTTCAAACTTGGCAATGTCACGACCGATAAATAAGACTCGCAATCTTTTCCGCCAGTCACGGGACACAATAGGAGGAAAAAGTCGTAGGGCGTATCTCAGGTGCGAGACAAGATTGCAACAGGGAAAACT